GGCGAACTGGCGGCCGCTAGCAGGCGCCGCGCGGCTTTTTGTGCAGCGGGGTGGGGGTCGGGGCGCGGGGCTCGGCCGCGGTCCTCGGCGGCTGCGTCATCGCGGTTCCTCGTGGGGGGGAGGAGGGTGGTACTGGGTTTTCTTTTCTTTCTTAACTACAAGAAAAGATTTTGGGCTTTGAAGCGACCTCATGTAGGAGCCTGACATCAGAGGCGGGCATAAGGGGCAGGTTTATTTTTAAACCGGGCTGTGGATCTCTCTGCTAAAGGGGAAACATCTCCTGTTTCACCCCCCCCGCCCCCACCCCCCAACCCAGCAGCCTGTCTGCATTCCCCTTCAAGTGAAAAAGTGTTTTTGTACGCAGGGTGCTGGGCACATGCACACACGGTTCTGAGCAGGTGCACCTGGAGGGTGCCGGACCTGCTCTTACACGTGTGCACAGGTGCATAAAGTGTTCTCAACTTGTGCACATGCACTCTGCTGAAAACAAGCTCATGTGCACATTGTTTTGAATACACGTATATGTGATGTGCTGGAAATGTACATACGTATGCGCACAGAGTTCTAGTTACATGCATGTGTACATGTGCTTTCAGTACATTATAGTACACAGCAGTCTGAATTCATGCATACTCAGTGTGCTGAAAATGTGTACATGCATGTGCATGTGGAAACATAGAACATTCTGGATTCATGCATGCACAATATGCTGGAAGTGTGTGTACACATTCACGCATGTGCAGTGTTCTGAGTTGCATATGTACTGTGCTGAAAACGTGTGTGCATATACACACAATGTTACAGATTCATGCACACACAATGTGCTTGCTTGTGGGCATATTCACACATGCAGTGTTCTGAATTCGTACGCATGCAGTGTGCTGAAAATGTGCGCATGCACACACAAATGCAAATTCATGCGCACACAATGTGCTGAAAGCTTACGTGTGTGTGTGAATACTTGTGCGTGCACAGTTCTGAATTCATACATGCAAAATGTATTGAAAGTGCATGCATGCACACGTCCAGTGTCCTGAATTCACGCACATGCAGTGTGCTGAAAGAACATACGTATGCACACACATGCACACCTGAATACATGCACCTTTACAAGTTGTCATAGGTGCACTGCTACAAATGCTTTTTGATTTTAAAAGCTATCTTGTGATGTTTTGCCTGGCCAGTGTGAACATCTGCAATTATTTTAATGGCTTTTTCTTCATTACTTTGTTACATACCAGAGAGATAAAAAAGATGAAGGTTATAAATACCATGATAAATCCATCAAGAGGAAACCTCATGGATTGGATAGTGGGCAGTCTGAAGATGACCATGATTCTCCAGTACCCAAAAGGACAAAAACGGGGGAAAAGGTGAATGGTGATACTGAGGAAGGAAGCCCTGCCCGCAGGAAAAGATCTTCATCCCTGAATAATGGCATGACCCATACAAAGACACAACATCATTCTAGTGAAGGATCCAGTGGAGAGGGTGACAGTGAACAAGAACAGGTGAAACTAATTACTGGGTGACATTCAGCTCCTACGTTCCAAAACTGTGGGAAAAGTTTCTCAATAGTTATTTCTCATTTCTTTGTATGACCAGTAGACTAGTTCTCAAGGATTCAAATTACTAAATTTAGATGTCTTCAATAACAAAGAGGTCATCTAAAATACTTCAAAAGTCTGAGCACACTCAGATGTCGCCAGATAGCCTCACAACTCACAGAAAATCTAGTATCTCTGAATTGTGCGGTGATAAAAAAAAAAAAAACCTAAAAAAAAAACCCACTAAAATTACTGAGTAGAATCTAGCAGAATCGATTTTAATAGTTGTGACACAGTAGTTTGGTTTCCTGAGTTCTGTATTGAATGTTATGGTAGCAGCTGGCAGCTGACAAGCTGCAGTGAGGAGGTGTTTTAATGGGATTCTGCACCAGCAATTAAATATTGATACAGTTGCCAAGAGTTTACTCTAAGTGGTCTATATTGGAAAATAATTTTTCTTTTATTTCCTTTTAAGTAAAAAGCCTCACTGTTTCTAGTGGAAAACCATTCCACTGTTAGTACTGTTAGTTAGTACAGAGTACTAACTGTCTGTTAGTACAGAGTAGCAACTTGTAATCTCACAAGTTATTTAATTGATGCAACAGTAGGGTGAGGTTCAAGCTCTTATTTTAACATTTCCATAAAATGCATTTTTAGAATGTTTTAACTAGGGGTGAACCAGTAGGGATTTTTGGGGTTGATACTGATAGCTGATTTTTAAGGAGGTATATTGGCTGATAGCATTCTGATTTCTGATACAGCTTGGAGAGCTGCATGCAGCTGGTAGATCTGTTGTTGTGGAAGGGGTATGGGGTGGAGGGCAGATCAAAGCTCCTGCTGTGGGGGTGGGGTAGGCGCTAATAGGGCAGGGCAGGGTGTGGGATGGAATTGCAGCTTGTCTTGGGAGTGTGGGGAGGGGTGGGTGGCTCACCCTGCTCTGTGCACCCTGGTAGGGTATGGGGGGGTGGGCACATGCCCCCTGGATCTGCGCAGGGTAGGGCAGGGCAGGATGCCACTTGAGGCTGGGCTGTGCTCGTGGTGGGCAAGTGGTGGTGCTGGGGGGGTAACGGAGGGGGCTGCAGCCACCCCAAAACTCACTGTAGCACCCCTCCTAACCCTCCTTACAGCACTGCTGCTGCCTGCCTCAAGCCCTCCCCACCCTGGCCAGGCCAGGCCACCCTGCCCCCCCACCTGCTGGGAAGAGTGTGGCCCCAGCCTGCAGCAGCAGCTCACCTGCCACATGCAGATCTGGCAGGCGCGCACCCCCCCCCCCC